AAGGCAAATACCGTATGGTTTCCCTTATATGTGGAATCTAATAAAAGTCAAACAAACAGAAAAGAATAAGCAAAGCATAAAAGAAACAATCCTACAGAAAGAACAACTTGGTGGTTGTCAAAGGGGAGGAGTTAGGGCAATAGAAATAATAAACAAACACACAAATGAATGAATAAAATGCTGTAGCAGTTACAGGAGAGAAATGCTATTGAAGCATAAGGAAGCACACTGGTATCTGTTTCCAGGCAGATCTGTTGATCAAGTGCAATCATCCTTTACAGTTGCCCGAGGTTTGTTTTTATTATAAAGAATGCCCTTGACTCTGACATCAATTTCTGCCCTGAGTGTTTGCCACACTGGTGGCATTAGCTGGTCTGTATCCCCAAATAAAACAGTGGGTCGTTCTATAAAATGACAGCAAGAATATGGGAGAAGCATAAAAATGTTAGGGATTAAATGACATTTTAGAAGCAGGAGCAGCTGCTCATGAGGATCTCAGGATTGATACCAGCCAAAAACTAAAAGGCCTGTAAGTCATCTGCTAAGCAAAGGTCCTCCCAGAATTCCTGCCAAGCTAGTGTTTCGGATCACTATGCAGCCACTGTATCAGGTAAGCCCAGAGGACTGAGCAGCTTCGAATTCAGCTTTGAAGTAAATTCATCTTTGCAATGAATCAAGTCCTGACTTGTAGCCACCCTTGCAAAATCAACTCTCTGGGCTCTTAGTTGTGGCCTGCCATGCACTTGGTGCTCAGCATGATACCTGGTGACACTTGAGAATCACCTGTGTGGGGCTTCAGCACACCTCCAGGGAAGTAGGGTTTGCTTATCTTCTGCCCCGCCCTGAGAGATGTCTAATGTTCTTGGTCCACTTTGATAACACATTTTGACTGCTCCTATCAGCGTGTGAGCATGTTCTTAAAGGACTCTCCGTCCTGCCACAATAAAAAGTTACACTGAACAGTACTTTTTGGCATCCCACATAGAGAAACAATGAGATAGGATGGGAAGAAAATAGACTATGGCATTTGACATCCAGTTTTTCCACTAATGGGCCTCATATGGCCTTGACCAAGTGGCTTAATGTTTCAGAGCATCAGATTCATTGTTTAGAAAGTGAAGATAAAAATGTCAGCCTTACGGAGGTATTGGGATGATTTGCCGAATCAGGAATATGAACGGGGTAGGTGCCAAAGGAAGAGCAAGCAGTGCAGGGCTGCCTGCCACTCCTGCAGACTCACCTGGAGGAAGTGTGCAGTAGTGCGTGTTGTACCTACACCTGGGCGCCTCTAACATACCTTGGCAGTGAAATGCCAAAAATGTCCTGGTAGCCAAAAAAGGTTTTAGTTGGCTGGCTCTGGCTAAACAGATAGGCCTTGTTCCTCCCCCTTTTCCTAAACAGTGTACTTCACCAGTGGTTCTTAATCTCTTTTTAGTCACAAATGGCCTATTTTTTCCTAAAAAACATCATTTATGGACAAATGCATAAAATTCTGCATTGATCTTATTGGGCTCAATGACCCCCTGAAAACCACCATGTGCCTGTCCTTCATGGCGCATGTGACTCCTATTTAAGGAGCCTCCTCTAGACAGAGAGCCAGGAGACGCCTTGTGAGGATGCGGCTCCTCAGGGCTGGCGTCTGGGCAGCCACGTCTGTTACAAGGCAAGTCTCGGTCCCGCAGGCTGGTGCCAGGCCTTCTGGAGAGGGAAGCAGAGTCCAGGGGATCGATGCAAAGTTCCTAGTGAAGAAGAGTAATTTTTACATGAACCCGGGCAAGGGATTTTTACAAATTTCAAAGAAATAAAATGAGAGTCAAATTAACTTTGGTTAATTCTCAAAGAAGTCAACCCTACAAGTTCACTGTCTCAGCAAAGTTCCTAAAAGAATGGTTTTTGTTTGTTTTGGGGGGTTTTTTTGCTAAAACAAAAGTTTCTAGTAAAAGGGATCCTGCAATCAAGGGAACAACTATTTGCCTGGCATTTGAGATCCTTAAAGTATTACGGGGAATTAGCTAGCTTTCATTGGAGATAGAACCAAGGCAACATTTGATTTCCGAAGAGCTATTGTCCTACCTTGGGTCCGCCATATTGCCCATAGCTACCAGCCAGCTGGAAAAAAGTAGGATGGCTACACTTGAGGCCTCAAGGAAATAATAATGGCTCACAGCGAAATTCAGCCGCAAACCTGAAAGAAGCAGACGAGCTCGGCATTTCTGTTTCTCACAGAGAACACTGGCCAACACAGGTGAGCTCTGGTTGTAGAGTCAGATTGGATTTGAATCTCCCTCTGCTATTTATTAACTGTAACCTTGAGTATGTCACTTAACTGAGTATTTCATCTGTAAAATATGGATAATAATGTCTACTTCATAGGGTTAATATAAGGGATAAGAGGAGATAACATAAGCAAAGAGCCTGTATTTCATAACAGAAAGTAACCAACACATTCGTTCTGCAGTATGGAAGACTAGAGGCAGACTGCCTGCGTCCAGATCCTAGCTTATTACAACTTAGTAGCTGAACAATTTTCAGAAAGTTACTTGGCATCTTTGTCTTAGCTTCCTCACCTGCCAAACAAAATAATGTAACACCTAGGTTTGGGTGAGGATTAAATAAGTTAACACATAGGAAAGTGGTGTAAAATGTAACGCCTGGTCAAGAGCTCAGCATATTTCAGTAAATGAATTCGTAATGCAATATATTGAGTAAATGTGGTGCAATACAATTACTAAATGTACTAAGTACTGGTAAAGTGCTAAATATATTACCAACCTTTGTTGTGTTTGGGGGAGCAAAATGTTGGGAGAAAAAGGTGGTGAGGAAATAAATATACTGTGACCTTTTCAAGTGATGCTAGATTAAGTGACAGAGGGAAACAGGGTGACAAGGGAGAATGAATGGCCCTTTTAGGTGGCTGGGGATGGAGCCTGTGCTTAGAGGCATGGCTGGGTTTCAAGACTTGGCATGTGTTTCACAAGACTGGCTTATAGGACTGTTCTGAGTGCGGACAGAGACCCCCAGGACTGAGCCCCAAGAACTCTGTAACTCAGCACTAGAGTCAAAGGGTAGGCTTATTTACTAAATGCAGATTCAGCAAAGTGTTTGGGGAAGTAGAAAGGGTGGGAAGAAAGTTAACGGAGCCCCCTCTTAGATATAAAACATGCGGACAGAAATGCAGGTGACTTCCTCTCACCATCTCAGAAGTTAGTCAGAAACTAGAGACCTGGAACCACCACTGTGAGACCTCTGCCCCATCGTCTCATGAGTTGAGTTTCTTTTCTCTGCCCGTACCCTTCATGGCGATTATACAATGCAGACCTTTAACACTGCTTTGGATCAAGTTTTCAGTGGGAGAGGCGGACAGGCTGGGTGTGGGGAGGGGCAGAGCCATCCCTCTCCCCCAGGGCATCCTGCAGCAGAGGCTGCCCCATCCGGGCTCCAAGGGGAGAGAAAGCAGGTGAATCCAGGCCTGAGGCCAGAGACAATGGGCAAAAAAAGATGTTTCGGCCACAAAACTGGGCCAAGAGCTGGACAGCGTGCACTGGGCCCCCAACCATTGCACAGACATCCCAATGGCGATGCTAGAAGGTTGTTAAGAGAAATGGCTCTTGGAGCACTGGATCCTCAGGCCTTAAGAAATATTAGCGAGTTGGTGTCTATGAAGAGAACATTTGATAACTTAGTGGTAGGAGTGTCTGATTTTATTTTATTGAGAAATCTGGTCAGAAGAGCGGAGTTTGGGCTCTTTTTTCCCACACCAAAACTTTTGGAGAAAACCTAACACTTTAAATAATCAGAGAAAGTATTAATCACATTCCCACTGATACCCTTAGGCGGCAACTTGCACTGAATGCTCCATTTCAAGTTTACTACCACTGATACCATCCTTCTCTGTAATTTCCACAATGAAACTATGTATTCAGACAAGCACGAATATCTATGCTAATAAGAGCCAGCCCTATGATGTCTTCTGCAGTTACCACGCTTTACTGTTTGCTACCCGTTCTGCTAATCTGGAATATTTGGAAGCGATTTTTCACAACCCTGAACTACAGTAAATCGAGAATGCCCACTAGAAAAGGCATTCCAGCAAGAAAATGGCTGGCTACTTTTTCCTGCCCCTTACCTAGATGTAGTCGAGGCCAGGATAACGACTGTATTCCATCTTCTGCATTTCTGTCGAGCCTCTGATGTTCTCAGTAATTTCCCGTCTTGATCCTGGGTTTCTGCTTAACCTTAATAGCCCAGGAACCAGTCAGAGACTCCGGCACACTCAGTTCCCATCAGCGCTGCCAGGATCGCTGCCCTTACGATGACGACGCACAGATTTACAAGGCCAGAGCGATTCGGGAGTGGGAGTGGGGGAAGGAGAGCCACGCGGCCGAGAAGGTGTTTACGAAAACACATCTCCCCCCAACCCCTCCCACCACACTTTTTTGCAGCAGTGAGACTGGCATCTTCCTGCGTAAGTGTTAATTAATACCCTGCTGGAAGTGAATTCGCTCCCTCCGACTTGGCGGGTAGCAACAGCATCTAAGAGCTTTGCAGACAGCTGAAAATGTAATCAAACAGCATATTTCCCCCTCCCTCTGCAGCTCCCCCTCCCCCGGAGGCCGTCAGCTGGTGGCTCAAAGGGGGTGAGGATTTCACTGCCTCTGGCCTTCCACTGCTTAGGAGGGGACAGCGGCGGGGCGCGCTCCGACGCCCCTCCCAGCCCACAAGGTGGGCTACAAGGTGAAGACCCCATGACCCCTCCTCTTCTGCACTCACCTCTCGGCTTTACTAGGGGAGCTGCAGCAGGGGCTGCCGCTGGGGGGCTCTGGCCGCCTTACCTTAGGGAGCAGCGGAGCCAGCAGGAGTCAGGGGCCGGGGCTGAGGCAAGAGTCCGGCTGCGCTGCAGGGGCCGCACTACTGCCTGGCTCCCAGCTCAGACGACACGGGGGAGGCAAAGGTTAAGGAGGGGAGCTGAGGGGGCGGCTGCGGGTGGGCGCGACACCCACCTCTTGTTTACCTGGACACGCTTCGTGGTGGCACTAGTCTCCCCGAGCGCGGTGGCGGCTCCTGGGCGGCGGCGGCGCTCGAGCGGCTCCCGAGGGTGGCGGGTGCGGCGCGCGCAGGATGTGCTGTCTCACGCTGCGCCCGCCGCTCGGCTTGAGCTCCTCTGGGAGCCAGCACATCCTCTCTTTCCGGGAGCCTGACACTGACAGCTCTCGGGAGTACCCAGTCTGCGGGGCTCGCCCCGCCCCCGGCCCACGCCCTCCACGCCTGGGGCCCCTTCCGCAGGAGCGCACTGCGCTCCCCTTCTGCCCCACCGGGTCTCTCTGGGAGGGAGTGGCGCCGACCCGCAGGCTGGTGGCGAGCTGGGGACCTGAGGAGGTCAACCCCTCTATTCCTGTGCAATCCGGAGGACTCATCTAAGTTGCTGCTGACAGAAAAGCTTCGGGGTTTTGGGAGCTCCTGCTCCCAACGTGCCAACATTAAACAACTTTCACTCCCAACTACTTTAAGGTCATTTAAATAAAAATAGCTCTGACCCATCTGCTACCCACAGTTATAGGCCTGATAAATCCCTATTTTTTTCCCAGAAGAAAAAAAAAATATGTAGTTTGCCTCCACTGCATTGCTTCTTGGAGTCCTAGCTTTTAAGAACCTGGGTCACCATTCTTGGACTTCCCCAAAGCTTGCCTTAACAGCTAAGTTTTAAGAGTCAGAAATGGAGTTTGAGATTCTAATCAGTGAAGGTTTGGCTCCATTTTATAGGTAAGCTTTTCATTGTGTTTCTTGAATATCAGCGATAAAGACTAACTGGAACTTGAAGGGAACATAATCAGTTGGTGTTAAGGTGGTCGGTGACGCGGGCTGTGGAAGAATTCACAAAGAGAAGACAATGTAGAGAATAAAGTTTTTACTCCTTCTCCAAGAAAGGAGAGGGGCACAGTGTGGAGAGATACACCAGCCTTGAGGGGTGGGGGCTTTCAGCTTTCACTGAATTCTAGTTGGATTATAAAAGTGTTGGTGTGAGACCCCTGGGTTGTTGGCGTTGTAACACGGGTCTGCCATTTGTGCTGAGGTTCTCTATTCATTGCCCCATGGCCGTAGGGACTGTTCTGTTCTTGCTTTCCAGTAATTTTCAGTCCTGAGGACATTAGCTCGGAAGGGGCAAAAGGCAGTCATGTTGAACAAGGTCACAGGCCTACTCTGCAAATGGTGCCACCATAGCAAATGGTGACAGCTTTGCTTTATCTTTTCAGTGGGCAACGTCTGTGGGAGGAGCTAGGGCGTGTGGAAGTTGTTGAACTCTGTGTAATGGAGAATTCTCCACGGGAAGAACTCCATGTTCATAAAGCTCTGTGGTTCTAACTTCCCTTTCCCTTACATTCTAAGTCCCCTTATGTAAATACCCCTACACCTCGGCACTTAGACTAGACTGTGCACGTGACTTGCCATTCCGGCATGCCCTGGGTTGCAACCCTTTCTTTTTCCTGAGTAAATCCTTTTTGGTGACGAAACACCTAGTCCATATTATTTTTTAGTCAATGTGTGGGGTCACTGTACACATTAGAATGAAAGTTAGTAGAGAGCAAGGACTGTACCTTATTCATTGCTGTATCACCAATACCTGTAAGAGCGGCGTTTCATGCATAATGCTGCTCAGTACATACGTGTGAATTTAATCAGCGAGTACTGCAGTCATTTCAAAATATATATAGATCTGGTTGTAAATACACCATCATACCGATCTATAAAATGCCCATCCTTGTTCTGATTTTGCCTACCTCGCAAATTATTGTGGCCATAAATATGGCTAAAAGGTGAAGTAGAAACAGTTGAAATATCTCTAGACAGACAGAATGAACTCAAGATATTCCAGGAGAAAAATTCTGTGAAGCAAATACTTGCCTCTGTCATGTATTGGATACTTAATACAGTCTCGTACTGCTTAATAACAGGGATGTGTTCTGAGAAGTTCATCACTAAGTGATTTCCTGGTTGTGCATCTATCCTAGAATGTAGTGTTAAAAACAAAAGTTAACCAAGTAACTTTAAAGATCTAATTGGCTGTATTAAGTAATTCATGAATCCAGCTGCATCCCACTTAGCAGCTAGAAGGGCACACCTGGAGTTCCTACAAAATAGAAGGGTGGGGCAAGAGAGCTATTGACAAAAAAAAAGAGAGGATTATTTTTAGACCAGTACAACTTCTGCCCCCTGCACCCTGCAAAGGTTTCTTGCTTTTGTTTTTAACCATGCAAATTACCTCTTCTTTCTGTGGGTAGGAGGTAGGGGATACTGAAGGCCCATGTGACAGGTTATCTAACTGGTGTTGACCAGAAAATTCCAGACTGGTTGATTAACCAGTATGTTTCTGGTTTAAAGAACAACTAGGCCCTAGCTGGTGCGGCTCAGTGAATTGAGTGCTGGCCTGCAAAATGAAAGGTTGCCAGTTTGATTCCCTGTCAGGGCACATGCCTGGGTTGTGGACCAGGTCCCCAGTTGAGGGTATGCAAGAAATAGCTGATCATTTTACTCTGACATGTTGATATTTCCCTCTCATTCTCCCTCCCTTCCCCTCTCTCTGAAAATAAAAATGAATAAATAAACAAAAAGCAATTAGGTCAGGTATAAATCTAGTTTTGGCATAACTGGCTTTTAGCACATGTGAGACCATTTTGTGCCTGTGGTTTTCTCTTTAACAATATTTGCAGGAACTCACACACCTAGGCTATATGTTATAGCCTACTGCTCTGTAGGGAGGGAAAAATAATTTTACCTTTACCCTCCTGGGCTCTCAGCTGAGACATCTCTTTAATAAAAGATAGATTAACAGGAAGAAAACAAAGCTTAATAACATATATACTTCCTGCATACAAAAGAGAGACCCAGGAAAACTGAGTTATAATTTTTTCATGATCACATACCCAGGCATAATGCAGATAACTGGGTGTGAGAATGAAAATGAATAAGAAACAAATGGTCTCTGTTTTCTACAAACTTAAAAACCTAACTGAGGAGACAAAACTGGCTTTAATACCACGCAGACTAGGGAAAGAAGAATAATTGAAGGCATTTGCCATGAGAGATGGAGAAGAGGAAAATCCATTCCAATTGGGAACCTGTATGATCTGGAACGCCTTGTTGAAGAGGTTTGGGGTGTATGTCTATAGTTAGAGGCACATTTTGACAGATGGTAATATGCATTTCAGAACAGAGTTAGAAAGCAGGCAAAAAAAAAGGATCATAGACCTTATTTTTATGGTAGATTTTTTAGAGCATTCTAGGTTTACAAAAATATTGTGAAGAAAGTACAGAAAGTTCCCATAAAGCCCCTAAAATTATAAACTGCTCATTGCAGATATACCTGTTTCACCTCTTAATGTACTTATTGCTCCAGAGTTTGAAAGATGGTCTCTAAGAAGAGATTCAGTGGCTACCACAAAATATGCTGGGCAAATTCCTAACTTTCTAGCCATTAAGAAGTTGCTTTAGAATCCTCCAGACAATGGTGTGGCTAAGTCCCACTGCTCTGCATCAGACTCTACCTACAGTTTGCTGGTATGGTATAATATTTGCACATGTTACTAGGGTCCTCTGAGACACAAGTCTCACGTAAGTCAAAAGGGAGCAAAGATGCCTGTCTCTTGAGATATTTCAGTGAGTTAAGCCCTGAGAGGCACTTGACACAGCCCCTAGCCTATAATTAGAAACATTCAATAAATGTTAGCTATAGTCTGCATTAAAAGTTCAAAAAGTAGAGCTTATTGAACCCTCTAAATTCAGTGTCCATTCTGTGACATTACCAGATTTCAGGGAAAACTCAGACCTTGGGGGTCACTACTAGCCTTCAAGACAGAGATCCCTCTGCCTCCAGGCACCCATCCTTTATTAGTGCTGGATACAGGTGTGGCCCCACAGCTGGTTCTGTTGTCTGACTGACTTTCCTAGAGCCCCAGGTCACACAGGTTACAACCACATTCTCACACACCAGATCCTTTCACATCTACCTGAGAACCTCCTCTGGAAGTTATTCTCCAGGTGATACTATCTTTCTTTAAGATTTTATTTATTTAGTTTTAGAGACAGAGGAAGAGACGGAGAGAAATAATGATGGGCAAGAGATCCATTGATCGATTTCCTCTCACACACGCCCAACTGAGGACCTGGCCCACAACCCAGGCATGTGCCCTCACTAGGAAACAAACTGGTGACTTACTTTTTGGTTCTCAGGCTGGCACTCAATCCACTGAGCCACACACTAGTCAGAGCTGATTTTATCTTGATAGGAGAAATAAAACTGAAAATTCACCTCTGTGGTCCAAAGATTTTAAAATCACAGAAAAATAATGTGAGCCATCTGAATCAGGCTTGGAAATATTCTCTATTAAAGATCACATAAGCTCTGGCCCTGGCTGGGTAACTCAGTTGGTTAGAGAGTCATCCTGACATGACAAGGTTTCAGGTTCAGTCCCCATCAGGGCACACACAGTAATCAACCAATGAAAGTACGCATGCGTGAATGTGTGGAGTAACAGATCTCTCCCACTCTCTCTCAAATCAATAAATTTCTTTTAAAAAGTTTAAAAATATGACACAAGCTCCATATCATGCTCAGAATAAAACCCTGTGAGGAAACTAACTAGAACTATTGCCCAGTGTCACATATGCTTTTGTTTGGGGCATATAAGGTCTGTCCAGAGAAAGTCCAGCCATTGTTAATATAACGAGAATGGTTTGGATGACACCAATGTAACCTGGCAGCCAAGGAGAGTGGACTGGAATACGCAGGCATGAACAATGATGACTTCACTGTACTAGTCAGTGAGGGTGGTAGACACTGTTGAGTGAGCATGTGTACTGTGTGGCCATTGCATTCAAAATGACTGAGCAAGTAGAGCAATGAATCTGAATCAAATTTTGTGTTAAGCTTCAACATTACTCTGAAGAAACTATTTGGATGATTGCCTACAGCTATGGGCAACTGGTGATTGGCAGCTTCATCATGACAATGTGCCTTCTCATGCATCATGTCTCTTGCAAAGTATTTTGATGAAACATCATATCACCCAGGTGTCTCAGACCTCCTACAATCCAGCTTTGGTGCCCTGTGACTTCTGGCTTTTTCCAAAACTAAAATCACTTTTGAAAGGGAAGAGATTTCAGACTATCAATGAGATCCAGGAAAATACATTGGGGCAGTTGATGGTGATTAGGAAAACTGTATGAGGTCCCAAGGTGCCTACTTTGAAGGGTACTGAGGTAT